AATCTGTCACACAACTAGGACAAAATTATAAATAAACAATGCTGCATTCAAATAAAACAGAACTTTCCCGCAGTAGGCTTACAGGAAGAAAAACGAAGTCAAGAGGCAAATCCTTGTTCTTTTGTGTGCAGGATAGTAGGTCCCTTGTTCAGTGCTGGAAAGGAAACGTAGATCTCTCCCTGGAGGAAGGTGCCTTTTGTTGACTGCTGCTCCTCTTAAGTGCTGCAGATGCAGACACAAAGGTGGCATTGATAGCAACCACTTGGGCTTTTTGGGATCTCAGCCACTGCCATGGGCCTGTTTTGCCCTTCATTGGCATGTGGTGAGGAACAGCTTGTAGTGCTCCAGGTTTTAAGAGAAATGACGGCAGCAGGGAAGCAGAGAGGTGAAGTCTAATATCAAATTACTAGGAGGAATGAGCAAGAGAACCAGAGATTCCAGTAAAGCAGCTGAAGTATGGGACTGCACTTGCATCACTACTTGTGGGGATTTTGTATGCTGTTTCAGATACTGAGCAGTCCTCTCCTTTTCTTTTATATAATCAGAGATCTTCTCCTGCATAGAGAGACTTGTGGATATGAGAAACCCATCTGAACTGCAAAATCCATGTGAGCCAAGAGGCAACATAAATATTTAGGACTTCTCGACTGTTGGTCATGCCCCCTTTCAGAAAGAAAGCTGAAGAAAACTTTCATGCCAGGTCCCTGGCAGTCAATTCCATCCATAAGCCAGGCCTTGTATGCCTGTGAACTGTATGGCAGTGTAATGATAGCTCATAGTGACACCTCCTGGGAAGGACAGAGGAAGATTTCCGTAGGTCTGTGAGTCAAAAGGCCATGTTAACATTGGCTGCAAGCCACCATTGTCTGTAAGCAAAAGCCTTCTCTAGGCTGGAAAGGTAACACGCCATGCTAACTGTATTCTTCTATTTTTTCCATTCCTTAAGTCTATATCATTCAATGCCTGAACAAATAATATTGTGAAATGGTGCAAAATTGTTGCAAGCTAGATTTCCCAAAGGAGGTGGCACATTTGCACAGCCTGCGGTGTTCAAAGGCCAAAAGCTGGGTTGTTAAAAGATTAAAGACTTCTTCTACTTCAATCTTCAAGAAATAAACACCCAATTGGTCTGGTTTTGCCCAGTTCAATGTTCTGCAGCTTATTTGAAGTCATAGTAAATGAGTGGAATTGCTTTGGATTCACGTTCATGGGAGTAAGAGATAAGCTGGGCTCGTGGGGGTGAACAGATGTGACCTGAGGCATAATTAAGGTCAGGGTACGAGTAAATGTGTGTGTGCATGCCCAAAGCACACAGCTAGGATGCCTCTCCTCCACACACACGGCCCCACAGAGGTGGTACACACACAAAAGGCTGTATCAGTTGTTTAAAAATAGAAAATTAGGAAGAAAGCTGTAGGAGCTACTGAGGCTGCTGTGCTATCCCATGGAAAATCCCAGCTGCTTTTAGAGCACAGGGCCATAAAAAGAAAGAGCCTGCTACTCTGCCCACTACTGGCTCCAGGTTTCTGCCCACAAAAAGCTGATCACAAGGTCACAGAGAAAATGGAAAGATCATGATTGTACAAGCAGCTCTGGGAAAGTCAGGGGAGAGAGGCAGCACTGGCGCTATTGCCAACAGAAGGGACTTTGATGAACACAAGGCTGCTGTAGGATGTCACCCTCGTTTTGACCTCCTTTGTAGACCCATTTGTTTCAGGAGAAACTCTGACAGAGTCACTGAAATGACACATTCATCCAAACTCCCCAGAAGAACTGGGCAGGGTTAACCCATGCCCAAGCACCAACAGCACACTCATACCAGAGGTTTCAGATAAATGTTTTTTAAATACAAGCCACTCTTAAAAATTTCTGTAAAATTCAGACTTGGAAACAGCACAAGCTCTCTCCCATGCTGAAAACCTCCAAAGGCCATAATAAAAAATCTGGTAAGTGTACATCTCCCCTTTGTCTGCATCAGGAGTTCTGCATGCAGCTCTGGGGTCCCCAGCACAGGTAGGACACAGACCTATTGCAGCAAGCCCAAAGGAGGGCAGTCAGGTTGGTTAGAGGGGTGGAACACCTCTCTAATGAGGAAAGGCTGAGAGAATTGTGTTTATTCAGCCTTTGAAAGGGGTGGCTTTGGCATGACCTGATTGTGATCTTCCAGTACATGAAGCAGGTCTACAACAAGGATGGAGAGGGTTGTTTTTCAAGAACATGTAGTGACAGGAGAAGGGGGAATGGGTTCAAAGAGAGTAGGTTTTCATTAGGTATTAGGGAAAAAAATCTATAGTGTAAGGGTGGCGTGGCACTGGCACAGGTTGCCCAGGGCAGCTGTAGATACCCTGTTCCTGGGAGTTCTCAAGGCTGGGTTGGATGGGGCTATGAGCAACCTGGCCTAATGGAAGGTGTCCCCACCCATGCCAGGGGGTTGGAACAAGAGGATCTTTAAGGAAATGTTCACACCTGCAGGCAATGAGGTACATTGATAGGGAACAAGTTGCTCATCTCCTGGGGAAAAACCAGAGTAGGAAAAGGGGAGCCTGGGCAAGAGCAGAACTGGAGCATAAAGCCTACAGTACAGAGTAATAAATACATTTTAATTTTAACCTGATACTGACAAGAACCAAAAAAGTTACTCTCTGCTCCACTATAAGCACACAGAAGAGCTTTGAAAAAGCCAAGAATGACCATGCTCTTCCACAATGTGGCCATCAAATGGGTCATGCTGCACTTGGGTACCTCCACAGCCTCCATTAGATCCTGGAGAAATGGTAGTGTCAGATAGTTCTTTTGGACTGGTGTGCTCACATCCCCAAATGGGGTTTCAATACAGCCCTTTGAACTGATTTGTCACTTGGGCCAACAAGAGGATTTACCCCACTGAACTCTTGAGACTGTCCCTGCTGGCAGGAGCCACATTTGAGCACAGCACTGTGCAGAAGTCCCCATCCAGCAAAGCATGTTCAGGGATGCATGAATACAAGTAAACCTGTGCTCTGACTGGGGCTCCTTAGGTGCCTCCTGCTGCTGCCAGGGAGTGTCCCTGACAGGAATACATTTGGTTTTCCCACATGGAGCTGGCACTCAAACTCCCCCTCCACTGTTGTTAGTGCGGCAGCACTCGCCCCCCTCTTGCACACCAGACAAGCCAGGCAGCAGCTCCTGTCAGTGCTGGAGTTTTATATCTCCACCACACCAGAGCTTCCGTGCGTGCAGCCTGGCTGCCTGGAGCAGAGGCTGCTTTCCATTATTCAGGTCAGAGTTCGCTCTCTGGCCTGTGGGGAATCAGACTCCGGGATCAAATACTTCTCTCTGCTTGGAGCTGCTCCAACAGACGTGCAAGGGAGTTTTGTTTGTGCGGAGACAGATTCGTCCCTGGGTTACTCCTGGGAAAGCTGCACAGCATGCTCTGGAAACCATGAGCAACAGGAATTCTTGTTGGAGCGAATTACATTTGCCAGATTTAATTTATTCAAATAAGAAACATATTCATCCATTTCCCACTATACATCGTTTATAAAATCAGTGGTGCAGCATCTCCAGAAAATCATGAGCCAACTGCTGCACATGACCTGCTCTGGGATTCAGGCTGCAACAGGAAACTGGGCTTGGAACAAGAATTCTCTTTTAAATGAACTTTTGAAACTGGATCTACATTGTGAAATATTTGGATATTGAGCAATGGAAGAATGTGAAACATAAACAATATCAACTTCTTCCTTTGAGCATTAGCAAGCTTCAGCAAGCAGGCTGGGTTCTGCTGTGGTACAGGGCACACAAGGAGGCTGCTGAGGATGCAGGGCTTGTTGGGGTGCTTTTGCACATGCTGGTTAGATTGCACTCCTTGCCTCCTGGTAGCCATTCCTCTAGTTACTAGTGTGGGTGAAGCATTTGCAAGTGAAAATTGAGAACAGAGCCTTTTCTCCTCAAGTCTCTATGACAATACATTCTTTCCTGCCTATGATTTTGCTAGGAAGTAGGATTTGACTGCTTAGAGGGTGGGTTTGTGTCATCCACCACATTCTGGCCGTTCTGCTCAGAGAAATCTAATTTAATCTGGGATTACTTGAATGTCCTACTGAGCCCCACTAGGCTTTGACTTGCAGGCAAAGAAAAGAGGGCATGCTCTTTATTGGCTCTAATTCAGTAATGGCCCAAAGCTGCAGGGAGTCAGCTCAGACCTCAACAAAATATATTGCTGCTTCACCAAAGCAAGCAGAAGAACATCATGCCCTTCTGGAAGCAATTATGAGCCAGCAGCTTAATGCAATAAAGAAAGCCTTTTTTTTTTTTCCTTTCCTAGTAGCATCCCAAAATTTTTTTCTACAAATGATGCAGAATTTTGAATTACACAAATTATACCTATCAACAGTAGCTTTGATCTGTTCAAGGGTAGTGTCCAGGTTTAGAGCAAATTTGGGGAAGAATCCCCCCAAAGGAGCTCCGGTGGGAAAAAGCAGATCCAATTGGCCCCTCCCCCCAACTGGTCCGGGAGGAAAGAAAAATACCTCCTTGGAGAAAGGTGGAAAAAAACCCCCTGTTTATTAAACAATAAGACCAAAACAGTATCAAAACAATGAGACCCCTTGCCACTCTAAAAGAGATGACAAACTGAGAAAACCCCGGGTTCAAGCAGCAGCTCATTCAGTCTCTGATCAGTCTCTCAGTGCTGGAATTGTCGCAGGCCAGGGCCGGCCCAGTGGGCCACAGCTGCAGCTGCCGGTGCTCTCCTGGGTGTTCAGTCCAGAGCAGTTCCAAGAGGTCCAAAGAAAAGGGAAAAAAACAGTCCAGGGAACTTCTTTGCCTCAGCTAGCTAACACTAACTAAAAAGCAAAAGAAGAGCTCTCTGTCCCGCTGTCTGTCCGCAGACAACACAGTCAGGAGCAGGAATGTGGAGGAGTGAGTGCAGTGTCTGAAAACAAACTGCGCGCTTCTTCTCTCTCCCCCTTCACTCTCTGTAACACTCTTAAAGGTACAAAACTTATTATTATTCAACATAAACAGAATGAGACGATTGGGGATAAAAGCATCATATAGTCAACCCAGGACAGGTAGCTTTACAAGCAAAGCCTCAAGCAAGCGTAGAACATTGCACGGCTTGGAAGAGACTAAGTTTAAAAAAATCTCTTCTGCCAGGCTCAGTGCCACAGCCTGGAACCAGCTGTGAGCTTTAGTGTCACAAAGCTGCAGTACCATCTTTAAACAGTGTGCTGACCTTCACGATGGTCTTGTCAAGGATGCCTCCCCCTTATTCCCCACCTCCTGCATGGTCTCATCTGGCCCATACGTCTGCCTACTGATTTTCTGCTCCTTAGGGAGACTGCCCTCACCCTCCCTAAGGAGTCATAAATCAGCAGTGATGAGGAGGATGTGACTGTGTCACCATGCAGCTGCCAGCACTGAGGACACTGACATGCACTGGGCAGCACAGATCCCACTGGAGACATTGCACCCTTGATCCCTTGAGCATTATGGCTGTCCTGAAGCCCCTTCACAATCAATCCATTGGGTTTGCCATCAAGAGCTGAGCAAAAGCTGGTGTGGGCAGACCACCGAGCCAGTGCCCCAGGTTATATGTCCAAGATATGTAGCTAAGAAGTATGCTTAAATTTAAAACATCACCTCAAGCACACCTGGGAGCAAACTGACCATGATTCTTCACTGATTCACCTCACACTGATTCACCTAGGCTCAAGATTAACAAAGAACTTGCTCTTTGTGCATCTGAGCCTCAAGGAGCTCTAATCCTGAAGAGCTTCTGTCCAAGTTTACCGTAAGAGACAAAAGGGTGAGGACACTTTAGCAGTGAACCCTAGAGATGAATGCAATTAGCAATGGGCTCAGCAGCTGCCCAGCCTGTCTCTGACTTGCTGCAATGCAGGATCTGAAGGAGCAGTAAGTGCAAGTGTGCAGATACATGGGGAGAAATCCTTCTCAGCCAAGAGGCAGCATGAAAAGCCATGGCTGGGTTCTTTGTGGAGACATGCACAAAGTGCAAGTTCTCACACAGGTGAGAACTTGAATTGGATACAACTCTCTCATGCCTGAATTCAGCCGTGGCTGAAGAGCTTTGGCAAGGTGGTGGCCTACAGCTGTACAAACTGGAGGAAAAAGACTCATTGATATCTCACAACGTTTTAACTTTCAGCTCCCAAGCTTACTTTATCTCTGTTTATGTACAGAGTTGAAGGATGGCACTGACTGAGGTTCTTCCATCTCCACTGACCATGGATTTGGCTCTGCCTGACCTAAGCATTCTGTCCTGAGCCAGCAAACACTTCTGCATGTTTATTTTTAAGCAGGTGAACCATCCCATTACCTTTGTGACTCTTGTATGATACATTCTTTAATGGATCTACTGTTACCACAGTTATCTCTATTGCTTTTCATATCACTTATTTTCCATCAGTTCCTGCCCTTTTCCCCTAACCTTCTCAGCTTTCTGATAACATATGTACTTTCAAGTACATATGTACTTTTTACTTCCAAGCTTGCATGTGCATAGACCTTTAATTCACAGTGAAAGGGTATCCAATAATTAACCAGTACTGCAATATTGCTTCCTTCTTTCTTATTAAGGGAAGACAAATCTCTGTTTCATAAACCTACACCACCATTACGGTACTCCAGAATGTACTCATTAAGAAGAATTATACAGACAATTAAAGATTGTCATTTAATTTCTCCTTTTTATTCATGGTTAGGATTGTGAATGATCTAAACATCTAAATTAATGACATGGTTTTGTAAGGATGTTTTGTCTGGCATATTTTGCCAGACAGCTTCCCTGTTGCAAGAAACACTGAAATTAATTATCTTATTTTCCTCATTAGTTATCACAGATGAATAATTTCTAGATATTTAACAGATCTGGTATGGATATAGCAGCTGAATTTCATATCCAAGATGACAATACTCAACAGAGATGTTGTTTAGTAGGAGGATGTTTCTGTGCATTCAGCCTTGCCTCCACTGATTTAAAATTAGATATTTACTGGACTTCAGTGTACTATAAAACCTGAGCTGAAAACAGGAGCCAGTCTCTCTTCGATGTCTGGTGACCACCCTTCAGCCAGGTTTTCTGATAGCGTGTTGGAGCTTCCTTCCTGTCACAGACTAAGATGTCCACATCCATCCCTCTCTGCCATTTTACTCCTACTCCTGATCTGTGCTTGATGCTTCATAGGTCTCTGAATACATGAAAAGCATTGACTTTGCAGGTCACTATCCCAGAGTATTCTTTTTCCATCCATTCTTTGTTACTCAGCTGACTTACAATCTTGCTGTTGTTTCCAACTGCAACCCTGAAGTTTGTAAACTTTTCCAGTGCACTGCAGCATGCAAAGAAATTTCCTTCCATTCCCCACACAGATTTTTTAGGTGCTCACACTTTTCCACTAGAAGAACTGAAAGAATACATTTGATTACAACAAATAGATCTGCTCCATATGAGAGTAATGGTGGGATGGATTTGTGACCATGAGTCTAGGCATGGAGGACACCAGACTGGCTACTGACAGAGTGCAAATGGCCAGAAAAGTGGTTGCTGGAGTCCAAACTGGAGGAAAGCTCTGTAGTTTGGCCATATATCAAGTATACAAACTTTGCAGGTCAGAAATAGAAGGGACAGTAATAAATTCCCTAAAAACATTGTGCATCAAATCTCCATTCTGGTGTCTGTTTTGTTTGGGGTTTTAAAATTTATTTTAAAGTAAATCTTCGTTTCCTTTCCAGAGTAATGCCAGTTTTTTGTTCTATAAGATTTCAGTTTCCTTTAGGAAGTACTGTGAAAACAAATGATGGGACCCCTGGAGTGTGGATTCTGTGGTATTTTGTTTTACAACTAATGACCAGTTTCCACACTGATAGCATTATTTACCATCACTATTACTATTTACTGCCTAGCCATGCTATATGAAGCAGGCATCCAGGGTCAATTAGTGCTAGTTGGGGAGGGTAATATTGCCTTTCTCTGCCCACTCATTAAATCTATCCTTTTAAAATTGCTCATGGATAGTTTTTCAACAAGCACCCAGCGAGAGGTCTGGGATAGATGGTTTTAAGCACTGTGTTTGCTCATTCAGTGCTTCCTGCCTGGACTCAGCTGTGTTGGGAAGCAGCAGAGGTGACTCAGAGGTTTGGACATGGCTTGTAATTTCAGTTCACACAACCCACAAGCACATGACTTCTTTTTCCACATTATTACTGAGTTATGCTACAGCGAATCTTAATGACCCACAATGAAATGCTTCCCTACACCAAGCAAGGAAAACCACTATCCACAAATTCCCCATTTTCTTTCTCTTGCCTCTATTAAAATAATTAATCACGTGGGGGAAAAGCACACATGGGCTTGCTGTGAGGTCACAGTGAAATGATACATCACCAAGGCCATAAAAACACTATAAACATAAAATTACCAGTAGTGGTAAAAAAGAAAATCAAACCCTCTAGAAAATAAACCAGAGAAGAAGTGAGGACCTCCACTGACACACATATTAGTATTTTCCCAATGAGGTACTTCAGCAGAGAGCACAAGGGTTGTGCAGGAGGGTTTTTGGTGGTCAGGAGGCAAGCAGCAGGTGAAGCTGCAGAGAGGGAAAGCCTTTGCCCCAAGTCGTGTTGAGAGAAGGCAATTCAGCCTCACCAGGGCTGGCCTGGCTTGTGGCATCTTCCACCAATTGCTGGGTGTCAGTGCAAGTGACAGCTGTGCGTGTCTCGTGTCAACCAGGAGCGTCCTCAACGACATAACCAGGAAAGATGTTGCCTGATGCTCATGTATTTTCTCAATTTAACATGTGCCTGCACTAGTAAGCCAACTCTTCTGCTTGGCTAGCAGAGAATGCAGCACCCAGCCTTGGTGAGTTCAAGTGCCCATTGTTGCTGAAGTAGGTCAGGGGAGAGCAGGCCGCCAGGTTGGACACGCTGTGCCAGTGAGGGTGAAATCTGTTCCTGTCCCAGCTCCTGCTGCTCCCAGGAAAGGCACAGAGGGCACTCATAAGCAAGCTTCTGACAGTGCTGTGCTGCTGCCAAATGCTCTCCTCCACAAGCACAGGCAAGGTCGGGAAAGGGAGAGAAGGTGTTTGCCTGGAGCAGAGGCAGTCACTGGGGCTGACCTGGGGCTTCTCAAGGAGGATGTCGTCCATATAATGGTGAACAATGACGGCATCCCCGAGGGCTGTACGGATGGGTGACAGCAGCGAAGCGACATACCATTGGCAGATCACAGGGCTGTTCTTCATGCCCTGTGGAAGCACCCGCCAATGATAGCGCTTGGCTGGGGACTCACAGTTCACGGACGGAACTGTGAACGCAAAGCACAGAGCATCGTCAGGGTGAAGGGGAATTTGGAAGAAGCAATCCTTTATATCAATTACAGCCAAAATCCAATTTTGGGGGAGCATTGCTGGGGAGGGCATCCCTGGCTGAAGAGGACCCATGTCAACTATTAATTCATTAATTTTTCGGAGGTCAGTCAGGAGTCGCCACTTATCCTTGTTGGGCTTCTTGATGACAAACACTGGGGAGTTCCAAGGTGACATGGTCTCCTCCAGGTTGCCTTTCAGTAGCTGCTCCTGAACGAGCTCGTTGAGCGCCTTTAATTTTTGCTTATTGAGTGGCCACTGCTTGACCTGTACTGGTTCATCAGAAAGCCAATTCAGCTTCCAGGTCCGGCG